GGAATAAAGAACTTTTGGCTATAAAAGCTGCCTTCGCCGAATGGAGACATCTCTTGGAGGGAGCCACCCATCCAATTACTGTCCTCACAGATCACAAAAATCTGGAATGTATTCAATCCGCTAAGAGACTGTCAGCCAGACAAGCACGCTAGTCCCTATTTTTCTCAAGGTTTTATTTTTTTATTTCATACCGCCCTGGTTCCAGAAATGGCAAGGTGGATGCCTTGTCTAGGATAGCTGACCCCCTCCATACTACAGTAACCAAGGCCACCATCTTGCCGGAGAGTAGATTTTTAGGAGTTACCTTTCCTTCTGATCTAATGTCTCGCATTAAAAAGGGCTACTCTAAAGATCCAGTTTTTCGTGATCCTCCTCGTGATCTTCATATGACCATGCTTAATGGGTTTTGGATTTTTCAACAACGTCTGTTTGTTCCAGAATCAGTGCGACTGGACGTTTTTTGGTGGCCTAAATATTATGAGGATGTTAAGAAGTATGTGTCCTCTTGTGATGTATGTGCCAGACATAAGACTCCTCGCTCATCCCCTGTTGGCTTGCTTCAGCCTCTTCCGATTCCTCATCGTCCCTGGGGATCTATATCCATGGACTTTATTGTGGAACTACCTCCCTCTAAGGAACACACTACCATTCTTGTTGTTGTGGACCGGTTAACTAAGATGAGTCATTTCATACCAGCTCGTGGTCTCCCTTCAGCTAAACAGACTGCTGACCTAGTTATTCGGGAAATATTTCGCTTGCATGGAGTGCCTGATGAAGTAATTTCTGACAGGGGAGTGCAGTTTACATCTCATTTTTGGAAATGTTTTTGTTCTATTCTAGGTATTAATGTAAATCTGTCTTCAGCTTTTTATCCACAAAGTAATGGACAGACTGAGCGAACCAACCAGACTTTAGAACAATATTTGCGGTGCTATATTAGTTACCTGCAGGATGACTGGCTGGATTTTCTACCCACGGCGGAGGTTGCCTATAACAATGCCCAACACTGCTCCACTTCTCTGAGCCCATTTTTTGCCAATTATGGTTACCATCCAACCTTTCTAGTGAGTCTCCCAATTACTACTTCCATTCCTGCAGTCACTGACCGGCTAACCGCCTTAAGAGATTCCCAAGAACTGTTGAAGGAGACTCTTTCGGAGGCTCAGGAATGTTACAAGAGAGCTGCTGATAGGCACAGAAAGGAGGCCCCAGTTTATCATGTTGGTGACAAGGTTTGGCTGTCAACAAAGAATCTTAAGCTTAGGATTCCTTCTCCTAAATTGGGTCAAAAGTTCATGGGACCTTTTGAGATCATTGCTCAGATCAATGCAGTCGCCTTCCGTCTGCAACTTCCGGATTCCATGAAAATACATCCGGTGTTTCACGTGGCACTGCTTAAACCTTTTCATGAAAATACTTTCCCTGGTCGAGCCCTGCCTGCCCCACCACCAGTCCTCGTGGATGGTGAAGATGAATACGAGGTGGAAAAAATTCTTGACTCCAGGATCTTCCGCAACAAGCTTCAATATTTGGTTCATTGGAAAGGCTATGGTGAGGAGGATAGATGGTGGGAACCAGTGGACAATATTCATGCTCCTGATCTTCTAAAGTCTTTCCATGCACAGTACCCTGCTAAACCAGGAAATAGGGCATCCAGAGGCTGCGCCTGTAGAGGTGGAGGTAATGTGAGGAACTGACTCTGCTGGGTCTACATGGTGCTAAACCTCTTCCTTACCAGTACACCAGTCTGCCTTTTGGAAATTTACCTGAGATCTGATACCATTGCTTGTAGAGTCAAGGTTATCAGTGACAACTCTCTTCAGCTGTGTCTGGTCAGGTGTCTGGTTCTTGGCCTATAAAAGCCACTTCCTGTCTCTGTACCTTTGCCAGATTATTGTGGTTCCTGTACTCTCTAATCAAGCGTGTTCCTGTTTCTCCTTCCTGTTGCTGAATTTGGACTGTTTTGACTCTGCTGCTTCTCCTTCCCACTGACCTCGGCTTGCCTCACTACGATTATCATCTTTCTGTTCCAGTCTCCCATCTCTGCTTAAGACCAGAAGGCCACTCAAGGCTCAGGGGCTCAACCACCTGGGTAACGAGTGGCTACCTCTGGCAGAATACATTGCTGATCTGGCTACTGGACTCCAAAACTTTGTAACATCAATATCATTACACCCTGATTCTATGGAACTGTTTTGGGCATGGGACAATGCATGTGGTCAGTTAAATAAATGATTTCCAGGAAATGCCTGAACCCCTGAACTGATCTGGCTGATTTTTGGATATGTTGGTTACCCAGATCAGGGCTATCATGGGATGTAATTGTGGGGTTTTATGTATTTTTAGGGTACTTTTGGGGTGTTTCGAAAAAAAGTGTGTTTTTTCTCTGCTTGGAGATAATTTGATTAGATTCTTCTGAATAAGTTGAACAAGCTCCAGGGTAGAACTATGGATTCTGTTTGGTAGTTTGTTCACTTTTTAAACTACTGTACTAGACCGACCACAAGCCCTGATCCAAATATCTCCCAGGCACAGAGGAGGGATTATCTGATTTTGTATGTGTGGCAAACGTAGCCACTTGAGGTCGTACTGTTCAAAGTCTGAAGGTTGTCTTACAAAAGCCGCTTTTATTCTGTTTATGTATGTATTTGTGTATCTCTGTAATAGAGAGCATTCATATGCTAACGGCCGAAAGCCGCTAGCATTCATAGGGTAGTTTCACGAACAGCGACTTTACACACTGTTCGGGAAATGAATAAGGTACCGAATGGAAGCCCACACACAGAGGGTCGTGTGGCTCCCATTAACCGATTGCAACATTGTAGCAATCGCGGTTAATTGCTTTCCCGGGTGGCCATCGTTCGGCTACCAACCACGTGGCGGTCGGCCATCTTGGATCCTTTGTTAGCCCAGCGGTGTTTGGTCATTGAGTGCCTGGAACCAATGGCGTGAACACCGCTGGACTTCCAGGCCGTACGGCAGCATCGGTCCTTCAGTATTTTATTCTCAATTATGTATTCGGTACTTTTTAGATGACTGTATAATAAAGTGTGTTTCGTGTGGCATTCGGTTATTTATGCTGGGATCTGAGCGGTACTTTCACAAAGTGTGCGCTCAGACCCCAGCTATCTACCGAACGGTCATTCGGTATAATCCTATGAATAATATTAAAGTTATGTATTTTTGTGTGAAAAGCCGGTTCTGCTGTACGGAGGGATAATCCACTTAATAGGATATTCTAGTGGGACTATCCCTCTCGTACAGTAGTGCATGGTGGGAGAAATGTCCTGTATATTCAGTTCCCCATGTAGTCCTCTACTGTATAACCCCTGTAAAGTGATTAAGGGAACCACATAAATACTGGAGCTGTGAATAAAATCGCCAGTTGATTCCCCGAACTGTGTTTGTCCGGTTACTGGGGGATTTGGGATATTGCCTTCATTTCCACCGCTTCACTTGGATTATTGTCTGTACCAGCGGAGATATTGGGATTTAACATTGCAGTTCTGCTACAGTATGGGAGTGTCCTGGACCTGAGAGCCAATGTAATTGTGTATTTGTTTTTACTGTGGTTTACTCTCAGGTCCAGGAGGGAGTGCATGGGGACATGCATATAAGGCCAGTTGTGGCTGCCATTAAAGTGTTCCAGCTTGTACTCCCAGAACTATGTGTTGTCTGGTTACTGGGAGGGAAATGGATAATCACTGTTCCAGCGTGGAGGATTCAGCGAGGAAAGTCCTTGTAAGGGCTAAAGCTCCCAGGACCGAGTGTCGTCCAGTGCCTGGGGGTTGCTAGAGCGAGTTTCCCATTTGGCTCCAGGAGGGAGCAGTTCCAGGGCCCTAGTCAAGCCATGGCAACTGTGGGTAGAAGTGCTGCGGTTTGTCCCCTGTTCCAGCTAGAAAGTGGTCCTTGGTGGAGGTACCCAGCCAGGGGTACAGGGAGCTCCGTTACAATTATATCATTACAATGTCACCTGTCAAGGGGGGATACATTAGGCAACAAGTGAACAGTCAGTTCCTAAATTTCTTGTGTTAAAAGTAGGATAAATGGGCAATAGAAAAGAGCTGAATGACTTTCACAAGGGCCAAATAGTGATGGCTAGACTACTGGGTGAGAGCATCTCCAAAACAACAAGTCGTGTGGTGTGTTCCTGGTATGCAGTGGTTAGAACCTATCAAAAGTGGTGCAAGGAAGTACAATCAGTAAACTGGCATCAAGGTCAGGGACGCCCAAGGCTCATTGATGCACATAGGGAATGAAGACTAGTCTGCCTGGTCTGATCAAGCAGAAGAGATACTGCTCTTTTCATGAACTCCACTAGGAGCACAGTACAATTGAACAAAGAGGACTGGGAGACTGGCTATAACATATGGAAGAAAAGACATTCTCCCTCCCCACATAATCTCGGTGCTGGTAGACAGCCTAATTATGTATATATATATTTTTTTTTTATTCTTAATCCACAAAATGATACAAGCAGTGCACAATGTCAATAAAAATACAAATCAAAATATATGAAATTACAATACTATTGCATCTAACCATGGCAGTCATAGCATGGTCATGTAGAATAAGTTTGTTCTGTTTTTTTATGAAGAGCGTAACAAAATGCATAACATTACAAACTGTGCCAACCGCGCCCACGTGAGATATATCCCTGACTGAAACCCTTTATGGGAGGGTGGGAATGGTAGTGTGCCTTTTATAGTAGAAGGGACATAGGCTAAGAGTATATCCGGATAGGAGAACAAGAAGCTAGCAGTCAATGAGTTGAACATCAGTATAGTGTTCCTTGCTAAAAGGTTGTGGTGGGGGGTGGGGGGGAGAAGGGTGAGGAGGTAGAGTGTTGGGAAGTAAACCTCAAATGCCAGCATAAGGAAGAGGTGTGGGATATGACACAGTGGACACCCATCTAATGATTGTTATACCAACAGTAATATGTAGTAAATGACATTCAAAGCAAATAAACATAAACAATAATAAATGAGAGGAAGCATTGCTTATTGTAGGTATAGGCATATCTCGAGTGTGCACAAGACACAGCAGTGGATGCTGGATTTCCCCCGATTGGTTGCCGGAACAAACGTGGGAACCCTGGCAGTATCCCAAGCTTGCTGTTGTGGAGGGGGTGCTGGCATCTGTTGTTCACCATTGCTGGTAGACAGCCCCAGTGTCTGCAGGGTCCAGCCACTTCTGAGGCCTCTGTGATTTTTTAAAGTTCTAGATTCACAGGGAATTAGGAGGCTGTGGTCCTCAATAGCTGTCATGCGGTGCTGAATAGTGGCCTGTTCACGCTTAAGCAGCTCTTGTTCAACACTAGTGAGGCAGACCTCGTGATCAGCAGTGTTGAGTTCAACATCATGGAAGCGCACCGACATTCCATTTATGTCCTCCTTAGCCTGAGTTATGTCAGCAGCTATGATCTGTGTTGAAGGTCTGCAAGACTTCATTGGAGGTAAATCAGCTCCCCGTTTCTCAACAGGTGTCTCCTGCTCCCATATATCAACAAGGGATGTTTCACTGGAAGATCTAGAGGGCCAGTCATTCAGAGGCCACAAAAGATCTTCTATATGGGCGGTTGTCAGGGGCTTATCTGTCCTATATTTCTTGATCTTGTGCCCCATTATGTGTGATAAGTAATGCCCACACTTTGGGGGAAGTAGTGTTGGAAAATCAGGCGGTTGCAATAGATATTTCTCCGGCTGATTTCCGCTTCTTCATATAAGTTCTGCCCCTCTCTCCTTTAAAGGACAACAGCTCGAGCGCACATGCTTAGAGAGTCCAGGTACCACTGTGAATTCCACATTTGAGGAGGTCATCTCAACTGGTTTGAGGACATCTGGGAGGTCACAATGCTACTTCCAACATTGGGGAAGATGGTTGCTGCTAACCTTTTTTAATGAGTGGGCCGAGTCAGATCATCAGCCAGAGATGCCCACCATTGTGTTGTCCCTGTGAGGAGTGTGAGGCAAGTCAGAGGGAGAGTGGGGACCTGACACAGAATTGAAAACAAACTGCAGGATACAGTTCCCCATTGCAAGATACCACGTAAAAGAATTACATTTCACTTTAATTTAAATTAAACTAAACTTAAGCAAAGCAGAACATCATGTCAACATGTTGATTTGAATCCTAGCCAAGACTATTGAGGTTTCAACTAGATGACTAACATTTTCCAGCACCTTTTTATTTAAACCTGTGTTTAGTTATTTCTCCACAGCTGGTTTTCTATAATGTCGATGTCTTTTCATTCAATAGTTTCCAATTTTGCTTTGTGTGCCCTAGACTAAGGCCTCATGAATTTCTACTCAAGGTCAGAAAAAAGTAGGAGCGGGGGAGTGAACGAAAAGAAAAGAACATGCTTAGCTACTTTGTAGACTCAAGCTGTAATTAGTCATACAAATTACCTCTCTTGACAAAGTCCTTCAATTTTCTGACAGGAATAACTCAATGTGCAGAAATTATTCTAAACCACTTGAACTGGTCGCTGGGAGACAGATGGCATATGTCTCAAACTTTGTTAGACTGATGAGTTTCTTAACAGTTTCTTTGCTGGAAAAATTGTGATCATTCAACAATTTCCTTTTTGTTAGAGTAAACATAACACAACATTGATAATATATTTCTAATTACATAAAGACAAAAGAGGGAGTGATCTTCTAATCAAATATACACTGATCGGTCATAACATTAAAACCACTGACTAGTGAAAAATATTCATTATATTGTTACAATACTACCTGTCAAGGAGTAGGATATATTAGATGGCAAATGAACAGTCAGTTCTTGAATTTCATATGTTGAAAGCAGGAAAAATGGGCAAGCAAAAAGAGTGACTTGGACAAGGGCCAGAACTGGGTCAGAATCTCTCCAAAATGGCAAGTCTTGTGGGGTGCAGTGGTAAGTAACTATTAAGTAGCCATGACATAAAGGTGTAGAACACCAGTGCATACCTGTTTTCTGCATATGGGGCTGCATACCCATACTCTGGTAGGAGTGCCCATGATGACCCTTTCCACTGCCAAAAGTACCTTCAATGGATACGTGAGTGTCAGAACTGGACTATGGAGCAATGGAAAAAGGCTGTCTAATCTCATGAATCACATATTCTTTTAAATCAGATTGATGGCTGGGTGGATCATTTAACTGGAGAAGAGATGAACTATGGGAAGTATGCTGGTGGAGGCAGTGTTATGCTCGGGGCAATTTTCTGTTAGGAAACTCTGGGTCCTGGCTTTCATGTGGATGTTACTTTACAATGTACCACGTACCTAGAGATTTTTGAAGACCATGTAAACCCCTTCATGTTCCCTGATGGCAGTGACCTCTTTCAGTAGGATAATCTGCCCAACAACACTAATAAAAAAGTTCAGAAATGGTTTGAGGAACAAGACAAATAGTTCAAAGTGTTGCCTCCAAATTGCTCAGATCTCAATCTCATTGAGCTTCTGTGGGATGTGCTGGAACAACACATTAGCTAGAGAAAATAGTGGACTGCGGATTGTCCTCTCCAAACTCTCCTCTTGTAATTCCTCAAGCTCATAATCGATTTATCCTACATTAGAGTTAAACAAAGTATGTCTGCAGTGGTAGGGAGAATTGCAATATCATCACCACCACCACCACCAAGACCAGACATTGGAGACACTATTTCAGTACTTTGTTCTACCTCTTCAGTACAAATGATGGCACTGGCAGACTAGACTCAGCCTATCTTTCCCTTAGTTGTTTGTTTGGGGTCTACATGGATTAGGGAGTATCATTGAGAATGGCAACACGTTCATTGGTTTTACTGATCTCTTGCTTTGACCATAAAGCATAGAAGATATAACGTTTTAACTAGCCGTGGTAAAGGTAGTGCAGTGGAGCATAAGTGGCAGCAGAAAGTAATGTCAAGCTCTTGGCAAGGGAAGCAGAAAACAGCCTCTTTGTACATGATTGGTGATGCTTTATCTCTTCCAAGCGGTATTATTTTGCTTTCATTTCCTGCTGTTTTTTTTGGAAGGAGGACTAGTATGAGTTTTAGTGGCATGGATACTTGAAATAGCCTTGCTGCTGGTGGTAAAGATACTTTTTATGTTTGTTTGGGGAAGCCATGCATGCTTTACAAACACACTATTACTGGTGGGCCTAGCTGACTCTGTTGCTACGACTACAGTTTCTTCTACTACTTTCTGACTAGACTTCAGCATTCATTTTTTTTTTGTATCTGTTTATCTATGTATCTGCATGTGTGGCAGTGTGTCTGTGCAACTGTGTGTGTGTTAGTATATGTATCAAAAACGGACACACATGTAGATACTGACACACATACAGATGTACAGACACAATGACACGCCTCCAGATACACAAATATACAGACACATACAGACACTGACACATACAGATAAATACACAGAAACACATTACACACAGTATACACAAACTACACACATACAGAAACACACACTACATATACACAGATACACACTACACACACAAACAATACACACACTACACATACACAGAGACACACAAACACACACTACAAACATTACACACATGCTGTGACAAAGTGCCCTTCGCCACTTGGTCCTGGAGAGGCCTGCTTGACAGCCTCCTCCCCTGTGACAATGACTCTTTGATGTATTTGGCTTTAAAGCCCCTATTTTACCTTCAGACAGACTATTTATGTGGGTTGCTTTATTTATCTTATGTTTTAGTCACCCTGTACCCATTATAGGTGCAGGGTGTGTGTAATGTGTTGTCCCTGTGTTTATAGTGTGTGTGTGTGTGTGTGTGTGTGTGTGTGTGTGTGTACTGTGTAATGTATTGCCTGCTCTCCTGTACTGCTGAGGTTTGCTACCAACTAGGTGGGTTTGGCTATGGAGCTTGTCTAGTGCCCTCTGTTGGTAGCAACAGCAATATGCACTACCTGAATAGCAAGACTGGTTCATTTGCATATTCGGGTAGATTTGCATATTGCTAATTCTGCAGGTACATGAGATTTTCTGTTAAATATTGTCTCCCCCACCCCTTTAAAAATGTGCCATTGTGTTGTGATAAGTCACTGTGTGTTGCCTACTATGGTTTGACTGTTTGTTATTTTATTGAGTTTTCACAGCAATGTTAATGTGGTGTGGGCTGGTCCCAAGGGAAATAAAGGTTTAGACAGGTCTTCTTGATCCCTCTAAACGTAGCCTTGTCTCGTTATTGGCGGGAGCTGTTATAATCACACTGGGGATTGCTATGCTCTGCATGCTCCCCTGAGCTTGAATCACTTAGCTCTTTTAAGGGCTTGTTCCTGACACGCTCTCCTTGGAGAAGAGGTCTTCCCCACACAGTCCTGGATGCTGGAGATTCATACAGGGTGGAAGGAAGAGGTCTTTCCCACATGGTCCTGGAGGACAGAAGCTGATCCAGGGTGGAAGGAAGACGGCAAGACTCCCATCAAGCTACAGTGGGTGCGGAGTCTGCGGTGGTGTCCGGTGCCGTGCTTGTGGTCCTCGGCGCAAGCCAGGAAGCGTCCATCAACGGAGGGTGCTCGGTCGGAGTACGGGAAGCTCCGTTACACATACAAACACACAGATACCCACACTACATACAGATACACACACTACACACAGATACACACACTACATACAGATACACACACTACACACATACAGATACACACACACTACACACAGATACACACACTACACATACACAGATAAACACACTAAACACATACAAACACACAAATAACTACACTACACACCGATACACACACTATACATACACAGATACAAACACACACAAATACACAGATACCCAAACTACATAAAGATACACACTCATTACACATATGCAAACAGATATACACACAAACACACACATTAAAAAAAATTAAGCCACCCAGCAGGTTCTTACCTTCTGCTGGTTGTGGCTGATGAGAGTTGGGGGCCTACTCTCCTATCCTCATGGCATCCTCCTCCCGTGTGTCTGTGTGAGTGAGCTGGGAGAATAGAAGGGGCTCGGTCACGCTGTTAAAGCGCCACAGCGCACGACCGGGCTCCTCTTTGCATATGTCCATTGGGTGGCCCTAAGAGCATGGGCCACCCGATGGACACTCACACAGGTTCCCAACCCGTGCAGTGCTGCTACACCGCCACCAAGGGTTGGGAAATCCTGTTTTAGAATATGACTGTGGCGTAAAACTTCAAAGTTAGAAAAAAACTGAATGGCTGCATCTCAAATGCGCCCCTTCAACATCCACATATACCTGGCAAAGGTACATATGGGGGTATTGCTGTACTCAGCCGACATAGCTGAGCAACAAATTAAGTATTATACAGTCATAGCACACATAAGGTTTGCAAAATATGCTGCGCAAACTCACTTTGTATGTCAAAAAGGCAGAAAAAATACTTATTACCACTACACTTGGTACAAGCTAGCGGAAAAATGATCCCACGCTAAGGTTCAAAATATGCCTTTTGAAATACCCTGGGATGTCTTCTTTAAGAAATGGTATGGCTTTATGTGGTATTTGGATTATATAGCCTGGTAAAATACTCTAAAATGGGACATAGGCACAGCGTAAAAATACAAAGTTTGAAAAAAACTGGAATGGCTGTGTCCCAAATGTGCCCCTCCGATGTCC